TGTTGGTCTTTCTTTTTTTTTCCATATTTCATATTGCTTATGCTCACACAGGAAACACGAGAGGTTCTCATATCAGTGTGATTGTATTGTTGATCCTGATAAGTCCAAATATATAACCCCTATTTTTTTAAAAAAAAAAGACCCTTACACACAAAATAAACCCTACAACATCATCAGATCGAAGAACAAACACCATCCTGCCCGGTTGTGCTGAAGAATGCTCCCAAAACACATCACTCCTAACTTCTGTGATGCTCGTCTTTACGTATGTATACGATTACAGGGCGGACAGAGTTTCACCTCACCTTATACACACCCAAGGAATTTCCGTGGGACCCAATACTGTCGCTCCATTGGTATTAAAATTGACTTTTAAATGTGAAAAAACAACAAGCAAGCCCTCTGCAAGCAATTATGTAAAACACTAGATGCAAAAGCGACATAATATATTATGACATAATATATATATATATTATACTAAAGCGACATAATATATAATATATTATACTAAGGTGCGTAGCTACAACGGCATCCAAGCTTTCTGTATCTTCCTTTTCATGGCTAGTAAACTTTGGTTTTAACAGCGACTAGACGAGTTCAAAAGATTGTCCGAACAAATACTGATGATACTACAGCAGCTGTCCCGGAGTAAGTCATCATCTAAACCAAATGATTACGCTGTGCAGCGACTTGTCAGCTTATAAGGAGTCGATGCTGTCCTCGTTCGAATCTGAAAGAAGGTCGGCCATAAAATATTTTCCAAATGAAGGGTAAATTAAATTCACCCGATGCTTCCAGGAAATTAGTGATAATCCTGAAATTATGTCACTACTAGGCGCTTCTCGAACAGTTTCTTAGATATTTCGTTACAGACTTGGGATGATGCTAGTGTCGTCTCAATTTTAAAATTTATGTGCCCGGAGTTGCGAACTAGCAAAGCCGTTTGTGGGCAAAAGCATGCTGCTTTAAGATTTCATCGCATCAGAGCACAAAGAAAATTGGTGGTGTTGTGGTTGCAGTGAAATATGATCAATCTTGACACAAAATTCAGTTTTACGTTCTTGCCGCTTGACATATTTGGTATTACTTGCAGACGATGAACCTGTTTCCGCGTCAAATGGTACCAAATACGATTGTACTGTTTTCATCGAGCGATGAAAAACGCCAAATACCTTCATCAATCAAGGAGCTGCTGCAGTATTTAAATCTTAGCTATAAGAAATATTACTTCTTCAACGAGCGTTTCCTGCATAGTGATCCACATAAAGGTTGTTAATATTCTGCTTATATATATAATTTATATATATATATGAATTATATATATAAATTATATATATGTAAATTATATATTTAAATTATATATATAAATTATACATATAAATTATAT